CAGAAACTGTGAGATCATGACCTGAGCCGAGATCAAGAGTCAGATGTCTAACTGACTGAGCCACCCATGTGCCCCAACACTCACATCCTTTACTTACCTTTCCCCTTCCTTTCACTATTCAAACCACTGAAACCTGGCTTCTGTTCCCATCATTCTATTGGGAGCTCTTGCCAAGGTCACCAATCACTGCCTTGGGGCCAAATCTAATGTACACATCAGCAGGGGATACTGTTGACCACTCTAGAGTTTTGAAACGTTCTTCCCCACGCCCCCTCCAAAAAGAAACATTCCTTCCCTATAGCTTCTATGACACTATCTTTTCCTGGTGGCAACTGGCATTTTGATGCAGGCAGCCCTTCTGATTTGGTGATATTTTAAGAAACAATCTATTAGATTTCCAACTTTAAAAAAGTATTGCTAACAAATATGTGAAACAAACACTTGTTAGCTCATCCCTGAGACTTACTTCATTGCTGGTTCCCATGGCAGAGAGATCAGGAGTACGGGGATGGAACATGGAGTGAAAGTGAGAAAGGAGTCAGATCAGGCAGCATCTGGCAGGAAACCACTTCATGCAATATCGACTCACAGTTTTACCATTCTTGTTCATCTCAGCAGGGGTTGTTTGATATATCCACTCATTTCTGAGAATTCAAAAAATACTTTAAGGAAAGAATATTTGGATTATGATATCAGCCCATATTCTCAGCTCCAGACTGCAATCGTAATCTGACTCTCAGTAATATATACATACCTTATATCCAAAATACGTGTAGTTAATATCATAAGTGATATGAAAAGGTTTTGGGGAGTCAGACTAATACTTTTTTTAGAGGTAGAATTCTAATAGTTGGAGTGCAGCTTTACTATTCTGCCCCACTCTCCACCTTCTGGAATTCCAAATGCACATGTGTTAGACCACTTGATATCATACCAAGATCACCAAGACTCTTTTGTCTTCTTCCAACCCCCCCCCCCCAGGTTTTTTTCTTTCTGTGTTTCATTTTGGCTAGTTTCTGTCTCTGTATCTTCAAGTTCAACTGATCTTTACTTTGGCAACGTCAAATATGCCATTACCTCCATTCATCCAGTAAGTTTTTCATTTAAAATACTGTATTTTTCATCTCTGGATGCTCCACATTTGTTTTTTTTCTCATATATTTCATTTTTCTCATTAGTATGTTCATGGTTTCTTCATCTGCTAATTCTGTCGTGTGTGTGTCTACTTCTATTAACTGATATTTCTCCTGGTTATAGGTCATATTTCCGGCTTCTGGTATGACTAGTGATTTTTTTGACTGGATACTGGACATTTTATGAGTTTCATGTTACTGACTGACTGGATTTTTTTTTCTTCCTTTAAAGCATTGGGTCTTGTTTTAATAGGCAGCTTAGTTACTTGTGGCTCAGTTTGATCCTTCTGAAGCTTATTTTTAAGCTACATTGAGTCTAGAGTATCCTTTAATCTAGAGAATAATTTAACCCCTAGTCAAGTATGGCCCTTCTGAGGTCTCTACTGAATGCCTAAATGATCAGTGATGACTGTCCACTCTGACTGGATGGAACTTGATTTGTCTCCCAGTCCTGTGTGAGGTCTGGGAACTGTTCATCTCTGTGCCTTTGGTGCCTCATAGTATCTGGGCTTGTGAGGCTTTATCCTATGAATGTGCATCTTGTGTTCAGCAAAGACTCAAGAGAACCTTTATGCAGATTTCTGGAGAAATCTTTTCATAACATCCTCCTCTCC